ACACCATTGGTCGATGTGATTGCTCGTATATCCCATAATTGAAGTCGTTTTAAATTGTCAGTTTTTAATGATTTATAATAGTTTCTTTTATTTGCATACTGACTGGTTAATGTGAATTTTAATTTGTGTTTTACCACCGCAGTATTCGTCTTCCTGTATTGTTTTGTGTTCATTTATTGTAACTTTGTTCATGCTGCCCCTTTGGCCAGGTCGCTCTTGAAAATAGATTTTAATCTCAATGAGACTGTTCACCTGGTTAAATAAAGTAGATAGACGATTATTAATTTTATTTAGTGTGTGTGTGTGTGTGTGTGTGTGTGTGTGTGTGTGTGTGTGTGTGTGTGTGTGTGTGTGTGTGTGTGTGTGTGTGTGTGTGTGGCGAGGACACATTGAGCCTTTATGTCTAGTTTCTATCATTGATATCTGAATATAACAACCCAATAAATACTACACATCAAATGGAAAAATATGGGGATAATTACGATTATTATTAAGATGTTATGAAATGGATGTGGAGGAGATTTGTTTCCTGTGGAGTTTGCATGTCACCTTGAGGAGCTCGTCCTTTACTGGCTCAGAAAGATCCACACTTTGGATTTCCTGCCTGACAAAATTAACTCAAAGACCAGGCACAGCCCTGAATGAAGTCTGAGAGGACTGCATATTTTTTTTTCTCCGACAAATAGACTAATGAAAAATGTGTCGACTAAGACTTTTTTTGTCGACTAACGTTTAGTCGACTAATTGAGGGAGCCCTTATCATGAAGTGTTTATATCCACACAGGTCAGCCACCTGTTTGACAATGAAGGAACTGTGGCTTTTGCTATGTGCATGGCAATCTGGGGTGAGTTTCTAATTAGATTTCATTCAATGTATTATGATATCTAACCCAATGTTTTTTACTATTAAGTCTTATCTAACATGCTCTGCTCTTATATATAATCTAACATGTTCCCTCTTTAACTGGTTGACTCTTTTCAGCCACTCTGTTCCTAGAGCTGTGGAAGAGACACCGAGCCAGACATGTTTCTCAGTGGAAGGTCTACGACTGGTGTGAGGAGGAGGTACACAAGTCACATTTAAATCTAGATCCTGTGTGTGGTTATCTGTAGTGTTCTGTTTCATTTAATAATACATTTTAGATGTTTTGTAATGATAGTTTATTAAATCTAAACCAATTGGCATAGGCAATTGTTTTAGACGAAATGAGCATCCATAATTAGTGAATCAGTTTAACGAGAAGAGAACTAGGGTTGTGTCATCTGCAGACATTATTGGAGAAAGAATGTTTGAGACATTTGACAAATCCTAAACGTAGAAAAGGAATAATAATGGTCCCTAAAAGGACCCCTGTGGGACCCTTGGCTTTGCTCGAATTAAAACCCTTACCACAAACAAATTGTCTTCTGTGGAAAACACAATATTTCAGCCATTTGTACGTAGTATATGGAAACCATATTCATGCAACTCTTCGGTGTGTGGACATTGAATTGGAATCTACATGAAAAACAATCCTATGTAAATGTTTATATTGTTGAAAAACATGGCCAACTACATATGGGTCTAAAGTTATTAAAGCAACATGGATCATCACTTTTAAACAATGGAACGCCCGTTTACAATGAACAGATGTGAGAAAGTGGCTGCATAACAGAATGCTTCACCTGTGCAGAAATATTGTCGTGACCAGTTGAAGATAATTTTAGTTAATCTATTATGTCACTTATTTCTTGGACATTAGGGGGTTAAAGAGAATAAATGGTCGGAACATTTCTTGGAATAAACTCTAGTGGATTGCATTGACAAGCTGCTATTTTGGGAGATAACTCTTGACCAAAGAAGTCAAACAGAAACCCACGACTTTAAGTAGAAAGAATAATTATTTGAAGTCTACAAAGTATTCTGCTAATTTGCAGTAAAGAGTAAAGACAATATTAGATTAGATAAGATTAGATTAAATATATCCCGAATAAAATGTCAAAAAGACGCACATTCGATGCACACACGGAGAGTTGCTGCAACAGGCTTTGTAGAGTAAAGTGTATCCAAAATATGAAGTATAATATGCAGTCAAAAATTGCTTGCGCTAAGTACCTTTACCCTCATCCAAGCAATATATTTAACATACAAGGACAGACAACCGACTCCAAATATTTAGTGTTAGAAAGAAACAGCAGAGCCAATTGTTCACTTATCACAGTATTATTGGATATTGAATTACTGTTGTCTGGAACAAATCTAATTATTGTTATTTTAAATACGTTTCAGTTGACACCATTTTGTGTAAATTATTATTTGTGGTTTTGTGTGTGTTTTGACAGGAAGAACTCATTCTTGAAATAGTCAATGACCCAAACTGTAAACCCAATCAGTTCAGACACTCCTACCTGCGCAGCACCTTGGTCCTCTTCTTGGTTACTGTCATGGTAAGAGAAACACATACACACACAAAAACACTTTCTATTTTTCAACATTGAAATACTGGCGGAACACTGCATCAACAGATTGACAAATTAAGACTGTATAAGACATGATTTTACCATCTTTATGCAACTCTCCTGCTATCTACAAATCATGTGTATGTATGATATGTACCCTAAAAGTCTAGAGTAGGACTCAATAGTGTCTATTAAGTTTGGTACAGGAGTCACCAGATCTTAAATGTCATTTGCATACAGTAGTAGCCTGTGTTCCTTCCTGATCCTAACAGCTAATGTTTCTGAAAGAAAATGATAAACATTAAGGGGTTCAAAGCACACCCTTGACAAGTCTAACTAGACAAGCTGAAAAAGTGAGAACTAACCCTGTTGGTTATCACTATAGACTTTGTTCCTTTATATATTATATCAAATTATATGGGTCTGCTTTGTCTCTATCTCCGTGAGAAGTTAGAGATATTAAAGCATCATTAAATGTTGGTGGCAAAAGCCTCTTGATAAACCTGCAAAACCAGAGCCAAGATTTCCAAATATTCCTCATAATATTCCACTGTAAACCCATCTTACCCTAGTAATTTACCAGTTTTCGTTTTTAAATGTGCTCTTCTTATTTCACCCTCAATTATTGGTGACTCCAACTCTGCCTGCGGAATGTAGCTTGGGCAAATGATATTAGAGAAGAGTAGCTGTTCTTCCTCATCATTATCACTGTCGGGTACTGTTGCTGTATATACCGTATCGTAATATTGAGGAAATACCTTGTCTATGAAAAATCATCACCTATCCCCCAAACTATTAACCCGCACCAGCCTGAACCGTAGATACAAGGCAGGATGGATCCATGCTCTCATGTTGTTTACGCAAAATTCTGACCCCACCGTCCGTATGTCGCAGCAGAAATGGAGACTCATCAGACCAGGCAATATTTTTCAAACCTTCTTTTGTTCAGTTTTGGTGAGCTCGTGAGAATTGTAGCCTCAGTTTCCTGTTGTTATCTGACAGGAGGGGCACCCGGTGGGGTCTCTGATACTGTGGCCCGTCTGCACAAGGTTCCACGTGTTGTGGTTCAGAGGTGTTCTTCTGCATACCTTGGCTGTAACCAGTAGTTATTTGAGTAACTGTTGCCTCTTATCACCTTGAACCAGTCAGCCTTCTCCCAGAGAACTGCCGCTCACAGACTATTCTCTGGAAACCCTAAAGATGGTTGTGTGTGAAAATCCCAGTAGATCAGCAGTTTCTGAAATACTCAGACCAGCCGCCTGGCACCAACGGCCATGCCACGTTCAAAGTCACTTAAATCCCATTTCTTCCCCAATCTGATGCTCTGCCCAAACTCCAGAGCACCAGAGGGATCTCTTTTGATGTGCTTCTTAAAGTAATCCCTTTGTTGTAAGTACCTGTAGAAGTCATTTTTGTCTAGATCAGACCTGGGCATTGTACGGCCCCCGGGCCACATACATTGGTTGACTCTGACCGGCCCGTGTAAGGTTAATTGGAAATTACAAAATAAACATATTTTCTCATTTTACCTCATGCATGGACTAAAGCTACAATACTTTTATTTTGAAGTTGTTTTTTATTCACGTACATAATGACGCAATACGTCAAATCAAGACGTGCGCGTTATTGGATCATTGTCTCAGGACAACTTTAGCGCTCAAAAATGTCAGCTCATGCTCAAAAATGAAAGGTAGATGCCGAATGTAATAATAATAATAATAATACATGGGACTTTTATAGCGCTTTTCATGAAACTCAAAGACGCTTTGACAGAGAATTAAGAAAACACAACAAAAAAAAGACAAAGAAATACAAAAAGAGATAAACAAAACAGAAAAAAATACGGGGGGAGTGGGGTGGTCAGTGGTTGAATGCAGTGTTGAACAGATGGGTTTTGAGTGATGTTTTGAATGCTGTGAGGGAGGAAGAATCTCTGATGGATTGGGGTAGTGAGTTCCAGAGGATGGGTGCAGCAACGGAGAAGGCTCTGTCGCCCAGTGGGTGTACTGCGACCGCCATAACTGGCAGTTTCCTGTAGAAATTAACAATATGGTGTCTGTAAGTGAATTTACCAAAGATTGATTTTTATAAAATCTCCAGACGATTGTTTTAGGCGTTATTTGTTTGCACAGTCTACCACTAATAGGGATATTTCGTCGGTCAACCATCAAACGAAACTTTGGCGTTACTAAAATTACTAATTCCAGTGTAGGACCTTCGCATCCGACTTCTTTTCGATTAAATATGGTACGTTTAAAATAAATTGATATGATGCGACGGAGTTAACTCACCGAATTTGGTAAGTGGGTAATTTTTTTCTCCACACAGGATACGTCGGGTCACAATCAAAAAGAAAACTGGCGTCGTAAAATGAGGAGAACTTACTTTTCACTAATGGCCAGTCGTACTGACCTTCCATAAGCCATTTTCTGTTTTATGGGTGCTAATGAGACCAAAGGAGCGGAGTTTGGTGTTGGTGACCGTGAGGGTTTATAATGAATCGTGGCAGCAATTTTTTGATGTCTCATTCTTAAGTCTTCTCCACATGTCTACTGAAGATGTGAGCGGTGGGACCCGTCACATCCACTGCAGAAACACTGTGCGCGAGACTGTAAATCTCAACTGGAAATCCGCGGAGTCGGACTTGCCGAGGATACCTTCCAGGACTGACTCTCTAGTTGACGCGAATTAAGAAAGAGTGTGCGGTGGTGACTTTGGTGGCGAGGGGAGACTCGTAGATACGGTATTGAAATCTCCGAGGTGTTTTTTGATTGGGAGCGTTATTTTTGTGGGACAGGGGGAGGTTGAGCCCTGGTTGGNTACAGTTGTACACCTCTCTTTGTGTGTCTTTATTATGACGTAACGACTAGTCGACTACTATTTTGAAAAATGTGTCGACTAGTAAATATTGGTAGTTGTGAAACACACACACACACACACACACACACACACACACACACACACACACACACACACACACACACACACACACACACACACACACACACTTTATGTTTTTGAGCTCCAAATCTGTCCATAATCAAAGTCTTTCCACAGAGTGACACATTGAAATACATTCACAGGTGGACGGTATTTCTTATCACACTTTCTTACACATTTCTTATTTAACTTGCATTGTCAGTCAATTTCTCATCTTGTTATATATAAAACAAAAAAACAGAGCAACACATAGTTTACTACATTTCATCCTGAGAACTTAAAATACTCACTATATGGCTTTCAAATGTATAAATACATAAAAGACCAACTCATACAAGCATTTTAATAAAAAGAAAAAAGTCATGAACAAAAGAAAACCGGAGAAGATATTGCAAAACAATTACTCTAACAATTTAAGCACTTTAAAAAAGCAGCAGCAATTGGTCACACATTGGTTTCCTTTGCTTCATGTTTAGACATTTACATTAAAACACTGCTGCCGCCTCTTCTCACACTGCAGGAAGTAGCGATCTCTTCTCTTTAGAGTGTAGTGCAATACTAGCCTTCCATAGTGGCTACAACTTTGCCATTGCTCAGCTGATAAGCATTCGATACATTACTGTACAACTATGGTTTCCAATTGACCTTTCGCAAAGCCACGCCCCCCCCCCTTGGTTACTGTTGCTAGTCCGACAAGCTGAGAGCCAGATGCGTTAAATTTGTTTAACGCATCTGGCTCTCAGCTTGTCGGACTAGCAACAGTAACCAAGGGGGGGGGGCGTGGCTTTGCGAAAGGTCAATTGGAAACCATAGTTGTACAGTNGTTGTGACCAGTCGGAACCTGATACTTAAGTTGCACGTGCATTGGTGTGATTACGGAGCCAGAGAGCAATGCACGTTTACTCGCGTACGCCGTGTGTTTGTTTTACAAAAAATGGCGAAGCAAATTAAGTGGTTTGACTGTGGGGTAAAAAGTTCGGCCAACCCGTCAACATCTCAAACGAATGTTCAAAGTGATTTAACTGATAAAGCGCAAGGTGAACCCGAACGAAAGCAAAAGAGGACAACAAACAAAAAAAATAAACTTTACCATAGGAAAATATTGGCATACAAATATAAACACTTCTATACAAAGGTAACACATTTTAAATATAGTTAGACATATTAAAGGTAATTTACAGCATTCATAATTAATATCTAATTCTTAACTGTGACTGGTTTTCATTTATTTAACATTAGAAATGTATTAGTCTGGTCAATCCAAGACTTCAATGCTGAATGGATCTATGGTGGGAGTCAGCACAAAGTCCAAGAAAACCCATTTGAAAGGGAGACAACGGATGACCAAGAAACTAGTGATCTGTGAAGAACGTGACAGCAGCTGCACTACTGGTGTTTTGTATACCAGCAATTGAGGGACAAGTTTCCTACCACTTAAGTTTCAAATAATTGTGTTAATGACTTATTCTAAAGCATTTGAACATTCTTTTGTGTCACATTTTCATTATTAAGTTGATGTATAACTGCATAGTATCTTAATTATTTAAAATATAAGGTAACTAAAAATGGCAACCGTATTTTCAGTTTTGGCAACCAAAAGCTGATGCCTGGTTGCCAGCCTGGCAACCACTTTTAAAAGTTAGCGTTGAACCCTGATGTGGTTCAGGACTCAGGAGTATTTTTTCCAACGCTGCAGTGCTGTTCGTCCACCGGAGTTTAGTCTACCGTTAACTCACTGCAGAGTTTAGTCTCCCGTTAACTCACGGCAGAGTTTAGTCTCCCGTTAACTCACGGCAGCGGCCGCTGGAAAGTATTCACTGTCTCACTGTCACACAAGCAGCTGATACATATCCCCAATTCCCCATAAGTGAATGAGTTTCAGTATGAATTGACGCTATTTGGCATCACAACGGTGTTATGAAAGTTTCTCTGGTATGAAATGGGTGATGTTAGCATAGCAACTGCATCTGACTTTCTTGACTACTTGTAGCTGCTATAATACAAAACAAAACGTCTGCCTGCTCTCCACAGTGATCAATAACAGCGAACGGATGGTCAAAGTAAGGTAAACATAAACAGAATCACACTAAGCCTGGTTTTATAAAGTGTGTTTTTTTTTACAAGAGTGTGGTTGCGTTCTAGTCACTTTGCTCAGCGCTACTGCTTGTTACAACTTGTATTTGCCGTACTCGCCTTTAACTGTTAGCTCAGGTTAATCTTGCCCCCTCCGACGTAAGCTTGACGTATTGGCTCTTGGTTCTTGGTCAGCCGAGTGGGGCCAGCTAAGAACCGGTTTTCGGTGCTTAGAGCCGGCTCCGTCTTTTTCAGGGAAGTCCCAGCTTATTTCAGCCGGACAATGCCAAGCCACATTCTGCACACGTTACAACAGCGTGGCTCCGTAGTGAAAGAGTGGGGGTACTAGACCGGCCTGCCTGCAGTCTAGACCTGTCTCCATTGAACATGTGGGGTGCATTATGAAGCACAAAATACAACAACAAAGACCCTGGACTGTTGAGCAACTGAAGTCGTACATCAAGCAAGAATGAACAATTAGCGTCCTCGATTCCCAGACAGTTAGTGTTGTTAGAAGGAAGGTGATGTAACACAGTGGTAAACATGCCCCTGTCTCAGCTTTATTGGAACGTGTTGAAGGCATCAGATTAAAAACGAGTGAATATTTGTAAAAAGGGTTAGGGTTTATCAGTTTGACCATTATAAATCTTGTCTTTGTAGGGTATTCAATTGAATATAGGTATAAAGGGATTCGCAAATCATTGTATTCTGTTTTTATTTACGTTTTACACAAAGTCCCAACTTCATTGGAATTTGGGTTTGTAGTTCTCACCTTCATGTTATACAATGAAGGAAATAATTATTATATATCACTTTCCAATTTTGCAAGTTTACCAACTTACAAAGAAATGAACCGTTTGTAATTTATTTTAATGGTTGGTTTATTTGACTAATGAGATACATATCAAAAAGAATATCCAGAAATGTACATTAAAGAAGAGATATCAATTGATTTGCATTTAATTGTGTGAAATAAGTATTTGATCCCCTTGCAACAAACAATAATTCTGGCTTCCACAGACGGGTTACATAAGTCCTCTTCCTTTAAAAAAGTACTTCTAATATCAACTTGTTACCTGTATAAAAGACACCTGTCCACAGAATCAATCAATCAGATTCCAACCTCTCCACCAAGACTAAAGAGCTGTCTAACCCCTAGATTCCAACGGGTCCGTCTGCGTCGCGTTACGGCTGCGCCGCGGTTTTGGTCCGGCCTCCTCCGGCGTCATACCCTTCCGGGCGCGTTTCAGAAGCATTTCAGAAGCGGAGCGTCTTGCCTGCCGGCTCGCAGCTTTTGTTGATTTGGGCATATTTCCTGGACAGGCTACTTTGAATAGAGTAGACAAAGTTAATAATAATTGTAATAGTCCAGTTATAAACGATATGAATCAAAGATGGGTTGCTGTATTTTAGCGGTAAAAAAATGCATTCATCATCATAATTATTCTATATATATAATTTACACAGTGCCTGTAAACCGGAGGAGAACGCTGGCATTTCTCCTCCTACTTGAAAGACTACGGAGGGATAGGGTCTGCAAATTAGTTTATTTTGGGGATGGGCCGGATGCTCTGACCGGTCCACTTCCTGCCAGGTGCCTCTGCAATGCCTCAAAAAATAGACTTCATTCCTATTTTGAGCGGAGCCCAGGGACGAGACGCTTCTGAGCCGTAACGCGGAAGAGCACCCATTGACTAGAGTGGCCGCGATCCTTGCGGACGCCGCGGCGCACCCGTGACGTGGCCGTAACGCGACGTAGACGGACCCGGTGGAATCTAGGGGTAAGGACCTCAGGGACCAGATTGTAGACCTGTACAAGGCTGGGATTGGCTACAACACCATCAGAAAGCAGCTTGGTGAGAAGGAGACAACTGTTGGTGTGATTATTCAGAAATAGAAGAAAGACAAAATGAGCATCAGTCGCCCTCGGTCTGGGGCTCCACACAACATCTGGCCCCGTGGGGTTTTGATGATCAGGAGAAAGCTGAGGGATCCGCAAAGAACTACACGGGAGGAACTTGTTAATGATCTCAAGGCAGCTGGGAGCACAGTCACCTAGAAAACTATTGGTAACACAATACACCATAATGGATCAAATCCTGCAGCGCCTGAAGGCCCCCCTGCTCAAGAAGAACATGAGGCCAGTCTGAAGTTTGACAATGAACATCTGAATGATTCAGAGAAGGCTTGGGAGAAGATCATGAGGTCAGATGAGAGCAACATAGAGATCTTTGGCATCAACTGGACACGCCGTGTTTGGAGGAAGAGAGATGCTGACTATAACCCCAGAACATCACCACCCCCCCACCCCCCGTCAAGCATGGAGGAAACATTATGCTTTGGGGTGTTTCTAAGGGGACAGGACCACTTCCCTGCATCGAGGAGAGGATGTACAGGGCCATGTAGCGTAACCTTCCCTCAGCCAGGAAACTGAAAATGGGTCATGGAGGGGTCTTGCAGCAGGACTATGACCCTGAACATACGGCCAAGGCAAGACAGGGGTGGCTAGCCAGTCTCCGGAACTTAATCCCATAGAAACATTTGTTATATTCTTACTCTCACTGTTAAAGTAAACCTACTATTCAAATGATAGACTGCTTATCTATTTTTAAGTGGGCAAACTTACAAAATCTGCAAGGGATCAAATACCTATTTTCTCTGCTGTGAACAGGCTTTCACACGCAATCTGTATTTCCAAGCCACCAGCTCCAAAGGAATGCAATCAGCCACTAGTGGCTAAATACAATATCAATTCATTGAAAGTGGCCATGCAGCACTTGGCTGCTACATATAACTGTAGCCAAGTCTGTCTTGGATGTGTTAGTTCCGTCCTTCTGTCCGCTGTAAGGACGCCCAATATGCGCAGAAAAATAGCTAAGCTAGGTAGGTTAGTGGTGCAAACATGCGAACAAATTAGCAGTAGTAAGATATGAAAACATAGGGATAGGTACACCTTCTTCTGATGAAATGTACTTGCAGACCCAAGGGGACCGTGTCCAACAGAAGGATGCAGGAAGTACAACATGAGCTTGAAAGACATACACACAACAAAAGAACACACAATCAGTTACAGAGTACCTGCCCAGGAAGAAGGCCACGTAGAAGAGCGATGAGAAGAGAGTGAAGAACTGGAAGGTGAACATCTTCACTGTGAAGTTCCTCTCTGTGGCAGCAAACGAGTTGGTCTTCTCTACACACACACAATATGTAAATACTGTTAATTCTGTGTGACTGGCGAAGCCACACACAGTCTAGTATTCGACAATCTTATCTCATCTTATTCTCCTTCAGAAACACAAAAAACACATCAAAAGGTGCGGAATGACCGGGATCGGGTTGCTATGCCTTTTAAAAAGGGATGTGTCTAGCCGTTTTTCAAATCGCAGAAAACTAGGGCTGCCCCTTAATAGTTGATTAATCCCTAGTCGATTTATAAAGTCTTAATCGAGCAATTGTTCATTAGTCGATTAGTTGAAAAAAAGCTCCATCCGAGCGCTGCATGTAATGAGTCAGCCGGAAACCCCCTCAGACTTAATTCAGAGCGTAGCCTGGTCATTTAAAGGGCCCATGTCATGCTTTTCCGGTTATTATCCGTCCCCTTGTGTTATGTAGCTTATTGTGCATGTAAACGGTCTGCAGAGTCACAAACCCTCAAAGTACACCCTGTAACTAACAGTCAGCTAAAATTGAGCTATAATTATTGGATTTTCTTTACCTTAATACAACTAATACTATGAAGACTTACTCAGCGGGGGTAATGTTAGCATCGGGACATGCACCCAAGTTTCAGTCACACAGTCAACATTTCCCGGAATGTTCTAGTTTGTTACAATTGTCATAAAATAGTTTTTTTAAATAGTTGTCATAACAGTACCATTTGTATTGTATCTTTTACGTATTCTTCTTTCTGTGTCTTTGTATGCACCACATATACTAAAGCAAATACCTGGTATGTGTAAACCTACAGGTAATAAACCGATTCTGATTCATAGGGCATACAGTATTATGATTTGGTCTTACCTATGTCACAGAGCTTAAGGGACACCCATCTGTTTACCTACAGGTGAAAGAGAAACATAAATATGTGATGGTTCCGTTGCTGGCAGGCAGACCTACATGTAGCTGAATGGTGTTCCTTTATCTCAGCTGTTTCTCAGAAGCTTCCAGCTGTTTCCTCTGGAGTGACAGAAACATCGTGAAATCACAATCACCACGTACTAATAAGCTCATAAGTACATGAAATATAAATATACCATATTAAATCTGTAATTCTGAGGTTTGATTTCTCCAGCAGGACAATGACACAGTGTATCGTCAATCATTTTCAGAAGGTTAGAAAATAAAATCATTTTTGTTTCGTTTTACTCAACCAAAAAACTAAGTAGTAAAACTACAGAAACTCCATTTTGCAGTGATCACTTATTTTATTTCATGGCTGTAAATGTTTAAAAAAGGTATAATTATTGATTAATGAATCAAGTTGTCATAATTTTAATGTAGCATCGGTAAAGGTGAAGCTCATTTTATTGATTCTTTATACATTTGGGTCGCACAAGAAATAGTTTGCAAGAAAAAAGTACTTTACCCAAAAAAGTGCATTCCTTTTCGTTTTAAATGTCTGAATTTATTGTCACGCTTGGACGGATTCATAACTTTAAAATAAAAAATGATGTTGAGCCCAAATGAAATGTTATTAAAATGAATCTCTGCTTAGAAGTGTTATTACATTGTGTATTTGTTCTGGTCATCAGTTTGAAATAGGTCTGAAGTATTTTGGTTGAAAAGTTTTAGAATACAAACAATTTCATGCCATCTTAGAGTACAAATAGTAATAAGCTAAATCTCCGTTATGGTGAGTACAGTACTTACTTAAGTTACATTTCACCTCTCTTAATGCTGCTTAAATATATGATTTTTATTTACGACTGAGGGACAATAAACATTATCCAAATTCAAGCAACTTTGTAGGACTTCTCATGTCGGTGAATAACCTGAAGCTTCAATGTTTCAACAAATATGTCAGAAAAGGTTTTATTCTATTTAGATAAATATGCACATAGCACATCAAAATGCACAGGAGCTACAGTGTCATTATGTAGTTTACATTTTCTTACAGAATAAGCAATGATGTGTTGAATGATGTGGTATATCTTAGCGCAAGCAATTCTTCCTGTTCTTCATTGTGTGAATGCACGATGAAGAGAGGGGGGATGTATACGTACCCGGGTCATTATCTGAATGGTGAGGTAGTGCAGCACAGCTCCCAGCATCACAGCCACAGTGTTGGCATGATCCCTGATGAACTCCCAGCTGCCCTCAGACATTAAGGGTGCAGCCACCACTCGAAACACCACCAGGGCATGAGCCAGGCCGATGATCAGCATGAGCTAGAGCACAAAACACACACAGTTTTTATCACAGCCTCTATAGTGCTCATCTTGCTTTATTTTCTGTTCTGTCAATGTGATTTTGCAATCTGCCTTTACATTAGTCTTTTCTTGGAGTCACGTGGGTGCAGCAAAAAAAATGGCTGTAAGGGGCTCTCTCTATTCCGAAGGGTCCCTCCCGAAGCAGTTATTTCAGTCACACCAAAACCAGGAAGGCATAAAGGACACTGTGGGAACTATAGACCCATCTCTATATTGAATGTGGACTATAAAATATACACAAAAATTACACAGGATAATATCAAAAAGAACTCTACATATAGTGGACCAAACACATAAGACTAAACATAGTGCATACTTTATTAGTAATCATTGACGCAGAAAAGCATTTGATCGGCTAAATTATGAATTTTTGTATCACATTTTGGAACGATTTGGAAGTATACCAAATCAGCACAAGGCATAAGAAGATTATATCAATAGCCAAATGCTACAATAAAATCAATGGTAACCTGACTGATCAAAATAGCTTACAGAGATCACCCACTTTATTTGCAGATTTTATGGGCACCTTTCGGGATACAAAATGAATATTTCCAAAACACAGATACTAGCTCTAAATTACACACCATCAACAACGATTAGGGAATCATTTAATCTTAATTGGAATTTAAAGCAAATACAAATATCTTGGGGTTATCATCACTAAGAGAAAATCTAAATATATAGAGCAAACTATAACAAGATAAATCAAGAAATACAAAAAGGTGTTCTAATCTACCTAATCTAGATTTTACCCCAAGTATTGAGACAAAATGAATCTTCTGCCTAGATGTCTTTATCTTTTCCGGCCCCTGCCAGTAGAGGTTCCCCAAACTAAATGTGTGACATGGGATAGGTTAAAATCAAGGTTTATCTGGCAGGGCAAAAAACCTTGAGTCAGATATGAAACTCTCCAGCTACTGGAAAATAAAGGAGGCATGGGCCTTCCAAAACTAAAGGAATACTTCATTGCTGCCCTGTTAAGATATGTTGTGTGTTGTGCAAACCAGATTACACAGCAAAGTGGAATGAAATTGAAAAAGAGTTTGTAGATAAACCAATCCAGAACATCATTGGCGATAAAGAAACATGCAAGACAATTATAACCTAACTATATACAATTACAATGTTCACTCTAAAAAGTATGGTTCGAAATAATTAAAAAGAACAAGTTAGAGAAAAGTGCACGTTTACTAAAATGGGTAACATTCAATAGTAATTTAAAACCAGCAGGGAACGATAAGGGATTCAAACAATGGGTATTACAGCATGGTGCACCTAGAGAAGAATGGGGAGCCTGAGAGTTTCCAGCATTTGAAAGATAAATATGATCTAGACCAGGGGTGGGCAATTGTTTTTTCCATGGGGCCACATGAGAAACAAAAAATATTGTGGAGGGCCGGGCCAAAAGGCTGAACTCAATTCTGCATAATATTAAATTGTATTTCTTTATAAAAAGCAGTAAATAGCATTGTTTTGACAAGCTGGTAAGAGTAGATGTTATAGTTGAGCAATGAAAAAGTGAGGTTGCCTTACAAAAAATGTAATTTATTCAATCAAATTTCCCAAAACAATGGTAAACAAAATGTGAACGTTTTTCACAATTTCTGACTCATATTAGTGAACATTTTCAGTCACATTCACTACAAAACACATTTTGAGTTTCATATACTGTTGGAAAGTTGTGTAAAGGTTCTTAGCATTCTTAAGACATCACAACATTGTCTTTGTGCTCCAAACATTCAGCAAGATACATCATATTGAACTGTCACTGAACATCACTGAACTGTGATTTTGAGAAAAAGGCTTCCAAAGAAAGTGTTCCAGTTCACTGCTAGTTGGTACCTTTACATGCCTACATTTGTAGTCTAACCACCTCATTTGGTGTTTTTAAGTTCTTTTTTCTTGTTCAGTGAGAGAAATCTAGTCTCTGCTGGGCTTTAACGAGTGCATCAAAGTCAGGTTGAATGTCTGAGGTGGAGATGCGAAGCACAGCTGACAGATGATCATCAGTGAGAGAGGATCTATACCTGGATTTCATAAACCTCATCTTTGAAAATGTTTGTTCACATATGTAGGTAGAGCCAAAGAGAACCAACATCTTCATGAGTCTCCTCATGTTTGGAAAGTCCTCCTCCTCGAGAGAAGAGTAGAAATCCAGCAGAGATCCTGACTTAAAGCGCTCTACCAGTACTGCATCAGACTGCAGGTCAATGAGTTCCAGCTGAACATCACTGGGTGCATTATCCATACTGCAGGTAAAGGGAGAGGCATTTCATCCTCGATTGTTCGGAGATCTTCAAATCGCCTTGAAAACTCACCATGCAATGCTCCTAACATGGATGAGTACCTGCGGAGGTGATCAGCTGATGGTGTGACTTCTTTCAGGGTTTACATGTGAGTGAGAGTGTTGCTCTCCAGTTGGCTTGAAAGAAACTGCATCTTTCTCATGAAAGCCTTCACCAGGCTGTGCATTTCATGAACAAAAAGGCCCTTGCCTTGCAGTTTGGTGTTCAGTTCATTCATCAGTGCAGTCACATCAACAGCAAATGCAAAATCTGCCATCCAGTCCTCATCTGAGAGCTCTGGGATGTCTTTGCCTTTCTTCTCACAAAACTCTTGAATCTCTGCTTTCAGGCTGAGCCACCTGACAGCTGTGTGGTAGCCGACGTCACTATGCTCAGTCTCATGCTCCTCCAAAAGTGCAACAAACTGTCTGTGATTCAATGCCCGTGCCCTGATGAAGTTTACAATTTTAGTAACAACATCAATAACATGGTGAATTTTTAGCACTGACTTGCACAACACATGTTGGTGTATAATACAATGCAAAAATACCAATTTCTGATCTGCGTCGATTTCAGTCACTTTATCTTGCATACGTTTCAAAAGTCCAACATTTTTAGCTGTAAGATTTGGACAACCGTCTGTTGTGACACCTGCCAGTCTGTCCCATTTCAGTCCCAGCGTGTCCATGCACGCATTTACCTCCGTGAACAGATCGCTCCCTGTCGTCGTCCCTTTCATCGGCCACATTGCTGCCAGCTCCTCCGTAATCTTGAAGTCCGGCGTTATCCCACGGACAAATACGAGTAACTGCGCTGTGTCGCGGACATCACAGCTCTCGTCCAAAGCCAAGGAGATAAAGTAAAAACTTGCCACTTCATGTTGCAGCTAAAGCTCCAGATTCCCCGCAATTTCCTCGATCCTTCTCGTCACGGTTCACTTGGACAGCGGGACTTGCTCAAAGGCTTCTTTTTTTTCAGGGCATATTAGTGCTGCAGAGTCCACTAAGCACTCTTTGACAAACTCCCCCTCTGAGAATGGCTTACTGTGTTTAGCTATTTTGTGGGATATCACAAAGCTGGTCTTGGTTGCTGCATCCTTGGATGTGTGAAGCTTGGTAAAAAAGCCTTGCTGCTTTTGCAGCTTAGCTAGCAAAGCATTCGATGTGCGCGCCCTTTCAGCATCAGTCAAGTTTTTGTATTTCTCCGCGTGTTTCGTCTCGTAATGCCGACTCAAATTGTAGTCCTTGAACACGGCGATCTGCTCCCCGCAAACTAAACACACGGCTTTACCTCCGACTTCAGTAAATAAATACTTAGCAGTCCAATTTTTGTTGAAAACCCTACATTCGGCATCTACCTTTCTTTTTTTAGCATGAGCTGACATTTTTGAGCGCTAAAGTCGTCTTGTGACAATGATCCAATAACGCGCACGTCTTGATTTGACGTATTGCGTCATTATGTACGTGAATAAAAAACAACTTCAAAATAAAAGCATTGCAGCTTTAGTCCATGCATGAGGTAAAATTAGAAAATATGTTTATTTTGTCATTTCCAATTAACCTTACACGGGCCGGTCAGAGTCAACCAAAGGGCCGTATGTGGCCCGAGGGCCGTACAATGCCCAGGTCTACTCTAGACCATAGACTGTATATACACTCTAAAAACAAATGCCTTGGCTCAACAAAGAAAATCAACGCAACAGTTTGCATCGATGTTTATTGAGAATTGTCTTAAAGCAACAAAGTTATTTGAGTTAGGGGAGAAGGCTTTTCCTCTACAATCAGAGGTGTTTTTAATTACCACTTACTTAATAATTGGTCGAACTTATAGCGGGAGGAGTCACCGGCGCAGGTATGCTAAAACCAACCAGCCTGCCCTTGTTCTACTTACTCGGTCTGGTAAGACGCAACTTACCACACAGTTAAACAAACTTTATCTACTGCAGCCGGTCCACTTGTAAAGACGAATGTAGAAAAACATTTTCATACACTACACTAGACGTCTAACCGACCGGTAACTCTCAAACAATTACATCAAAATGTTTTTGAAATTGTCTAGTAAATGTAAAACCGTGGACTAAAGATTATCGTTTCCGGAGATTCAAGCGACACTACCGCGTACATAAACGAAGACAGGGTAAAGGGTACCATTATACCCGATACACAAATAATAATAAACACCGCCGACTTTTACAATAAAACACAAAGAATATAAATAGAAAAAAGTTCTAAATTTACTCGAGTCGCATTCAATAAAGTCGCTTCCGACCACATTATATGAAGGAGTCGTCGACGATAATTAGGCGAGGTAGTGTCCGCGATGAGAAATGGATACGGTAAAGTGGAGTAAGAGTCGTCGGTAGTTGCGCACGACGTCGGTTTGATATTTTACCAGAGGAGAGAGGACGGGTCAGTCGGACATCTAAAGTCCCAAGACGGTGGAAGAGTATCACCGTACACATTATTTCAAGTTCGATTAACTTAATAGAGGACTAACGTTTGTAGTACACAACTTATTTGTTGACGTCAAGTTTATTTTTCACTAACGGATTTATAAAAACAACACCTTAGTTAATTAAAGAAAGAAATTCCGGTTTTTGACTTTTTCGATTCTTTTTTTTTTATTAACTTATGTTATAAAAACCCTGTTGAAGTAAATATTTACCGAACAGTTGAATTTGCACACACAAGTGTCTACTACCATCTAATCATGTATGTTGAATTTTAAGGAAAATTTAGTACACCAATTTTGATCAGCCTATGTTAGAATTAGAAACTCATTAGTTGAAGTTTGAGAC